TGGGCAACTTCAAGGAGGGGAAGGCAAAGCTGTACTGTGGACGAGCTCATTAGCCAGCACCCCCACCCCCCCACGAGGAGGAGGGCGGGCGGCCCAGGGAGCGTGGCGGCAGAGGCGGCAGAGAAAAGGCTGTCACTGTCCTTTCTTCCTTTTGGTACAAGCATCTCCCTGAGCCGACGATTCTCCTGCAGTGACACCTCTCACGGGAGCTAATGAGATCCGTGTCATGGAGCTAATGCGCTCTGACTGGACTCTTGATAGACACCCTACTCCTTCAGGGGAGACCACAGGCCAGTACTGCCCCCCTGGGGCCAGGCCCCCACCTTGCCTCCTACCAGCCCAGCTCTTTTTGCCAAACCATGCTGGGTAACAAGCTCCTGAGAGTCCACTTGGTGTCTGGCCATCCCTCCTTACCATGAGCCTCAGAGGGACCCTCCTCAGGCCCTGAGCAGAGGGACTAAGAGACCAGGGCAGGACCACCCAGCTGGGCATCAGGGAAGGTTCCAGTTCTTCTCTCAGCCAGCTGAAATCAGCAGTCTGTGGGGCCTCCATGTCCCAACAACAGGTGAGATTTTACTGACATTTCCTGTGCAGATTTCTGGGTCCTGCTGATGGAGAGATCAAGTATGGAGGGCCTGAACATCACCCCCCAACAAACTGTGAGTGGGGTCCAAGGATGTATTTTGTACATGCACACTGGGAAGTCCAGGCAAGATTCCCAGAAGAGGTGGCCCCTGGAAAACGGGCAGGATTTTCCTGGTCAATGAGGTGGAGAGCAAACAGATCAGAGTAAGAACAGATCAGAGCCAGAAGGAGGTGAGAAGCCAAGAGTTGCCGGGCTCTGGCTCTGAGGGCAACTGTAGCAGGCTTTCTTCCTCAAGAAGGCTTTGTCAAGGCCTGTATGTTTCACATTAACTGAGGGAAACGAGGGAAGTGAGCTTGTGTTCCTCCTCATTGTCTCTGTTGGTAGCACAAAGCCTGACACCAAAAAGGTGCTTCGTAGTTCAGTACAGCAGTAAGAACACAGACTCTGCACTCACATGGACCTGGGTTTGAGTCCTGGCTCTTCAATTCACCTGGCTGTGTGACCTCAGGCAAGTCACTAACTGAGTCTCAGCTTCCCAGTCTATAAAATGGGAATGATAATGCCTGCCTTCCATAAAACTGGTGTGAAAATTACATTAGTTAATAAAAAGTACCCCCAAATACATGCTGACCCTCTGGAGAAACACAAGAAGTACCATACAGCACTCCGAAGTCCCCCGTGGAGGCTGCCCTGCCTCTAAGCCTTTGGTCCACAGCAAGGATGCAGACGGAGTCCACTGACCGCCGGCCATCAGCAGTCCCGCGTACATGCAGTCCCTCTTCACCCACAGCCCACTCCACACCACCCAGTTCACTGGGCTCACAAGGCCAAATCCACCACCTCAGGAGGAAGCGTCCCTCTCCTGACTAAGAGGCCATGCCGACAGCCCCCGACACCTCTTTTCTGCCTGGAGCTCCACGACCTCCATTCCTGAACCTACCTTTCCCTTAGCTGCCAGGGCCAACTGTACCTCTGCTGACGACCATACCTGAGCTCCGTGGGGGGCAGGGCACTCTGTCATTTTCACCAGTACACCTGTCACGGCTCCTGACACATAGCAGGTGTAAGGTGAACGTTCACTGACTGGTCCTCTGCCTCCATTCCCAGGCCACTGCTGGCTCTGAATTAACCGCCGCCTCCATGCACCTCGCTGAGCTGCCCCTTCTGCAGTTTCTCCTTGCTAGTCCTCTCTGTATAAACTCTCAGACGGCTCAAATTGAAGCCCAACTCTGACCAGGTCACCGCTCTGCCAGGATCTGCCCCCGCCCCCGGTTCCCCCGCAAACAGTTCAGCCATGCACATCCATCCCAGCGGGCCCTCTCCCCTTCCACAGCCTACCTCCCAGCCCTCCAGCACGCCTGCCCCTTGCTCTCTCAGGGCCACCACACCCGGTGCTCAGCAGAAGTCCCCACCAGGTAGGCCCCACACACTCTCCCTGCCACCCATACCTTAGAAAGAGACTCAGTAGATCTCTCTAGGACCTAGGATCATCAGTGATTTGTGCACAGAGCCGCTGCCTAGCCCCCTCCATGGCACCGTGGGAGAGCCAAGCGGGTCCCAGAGATGGCTAAGCTGTGGGATCTGCAGAACCCTTGCCCAGCATCACCAATGCTGCCCCCCCAACCAATATGCACACCACTCCCCACTTCAGGCTGGCAGCTCCTCACGCAGTTAATTAGCACTATGTCACTGAGGACCAGCCTGAGTGGCCAGTGACAGGAGCTGACCCTTGACCCCAGGGCTGGGAAACAGTCCACATCAAACTCTTACAGCGCGACCCTTTTAGCACGCACAGTAACTCGGGGCACCGCCAGCTGAAGCTCATTAAAGCTGTCTCTTTGGCGCGAGGGCCATTAACCTCTACTGCTCAAAACCAACGCCTCCCCTCCCCGCCTCTCCCAGCCCAATTAATGCCCTGCATCCTCCCTCCCCTCCAAACACCCTCACCCACACCTCAGAGCCAGCTGGGAGCGGGCAGGGCAGCCCTCTGCGTTCAAAGATACAAAGACCCAGTGCCAGGAACCCCCAGGGCCCTGGAGAGGCCATGGTGTTGGCAGGGCCACAGAGGAGGGGGCTGCTTGAGCACCTACTGTGTGCCAGGCCAGGCACTGCACAAGCCCCTTACACGAGCAGCTTCACTGAACCTCCCCAACAGCCCTGACAGGCACTGGCACTGTCTCTTGCCTGAGGTCACAGGGCTCTGGGTGGTAGAGCCAGAACTTCCTCTGGCTCCAAAGCACTTACTCCATTGTCACTTGTAACCTTAGACTGTCCCCTGTGGCCTGGCCAGATGGAAAAACCTTCTTCCCTGGAGAGAGAAGGAACGCCTCAGGAGTCCTAACAGAGAGGGAAGAAGGAACCACTTCCTCTCACAAACACACCCTGGGCCGCATCCACAGACACAGGGCACCCAGCTCAAGGCCAACCCAGCCCCGCTGGTCCCTCTAGCAGCCAGACTCAACTACTGGCAGCCCCTGCCCGCCTGGGCCAGTGCAAGTCCTCTCACTGATCCGCACTGTCTGGTCCCTCCCTTTCCCATCCCTCTGTCACTGATTCATCTACTCATTCATTCAGCGCGCCCCCCTCCCCGAAGTGTCTACTAAGCATCTATTAAGAACCAGCACGTGCAGTGCGCCCTGCCCCGTCAGTTCTGAGCAGGAGCTCTGAGAGTGCTGTCCTCTCACTCACAAACCTCTTATCTCCTCAGAACCTCACCAAAGAGCCAACCCTTTAACCTGGCATTCAAGACCCACTTATTTCCCCATTTCTTTTCCAGCTGTTCCCTGACCCAAGTGTCCCTCCCACTCCAGTCACAGCAAACTATGTGTAGGTGTCTCAGTTGTCTTCAATGTGCCCTTGTGCTTTTGTACGCACAGCTGCCCTTCAGTAGAAAACCCTTCCCTCATTTTTCTACCTAGCAAACTCCTACTCATCCTTCAAGAATCTCCTGACTCAAGTGTCTTTCTTCTCTAGGAAACTCCCTGCTCAGCTTCCAAGCAGATCAGCTTGCTAGGCTTGGGGTCTCCTCTAGGTTGTATGGACGAGCTCCTGTGGAAGGCAACAGCAGTTTTTGTGGGGCACCCCCAATTCCTTAGACCTGTTGACTGCTTCCTCTCCCCCAACCTGCCGGGCCCCAGAAGAGCCTTTGGGTGTCCCAACAAGAAGGATACAGGGCATCCCTGAGGTAAGTGAGATGTAAATAAAGAAGCAGAAGTCACTTTGGCACCTGAGGACAGGAGAATCCTCCCCTGGGGCAGCCTAGGTGTTCCCATCACGGCCCTTAGTACCCTGGGTACCCAGTTCAGTGTCTATCTCGTCCTAGGATGTCACCTCCTTGAGGACAAGAATCTCCACCCAGCATGCCCAGCACCCACTAGGCACCAGTGATCTCTGTAGAAAGGATGAAGGGCTAGTCTGTGACAGGTGACTGGGTCCTTTTGGTGTATCCTGCCGGTCCCTCTGCCGCCATAGCTCCCCAAAGGTACACAGGTTATGATAATGTCATACCACCTCCCAGGAATAACCCCCCCACCCCCGCTCCTCCCCACTTGGAACAAAGCCTATGCTTGTCAAGTACCCCGCTTGAAAGCATTTGCATGACGTGTGCCCACACACAGAAAATCAGATACACAGAAATGAACAGACACACTTTCTGGTGGATACACACACAGGCTGATGGTTGCTTCCATATACAGATGAATGCCCTCAGGAAAATCAACCCAGATATATTGTTACACTCACTCACACACACACGCTCCCCAATACTGATATATCCGAAGTTAGCAGAGCTTCCAATGCCTAGAACCACAGCCACTCCATCCCCCTCCCAAGCAGGGATCCCTCTGAGGGTGCACCCCCACCTGGTACCCCAAATGGCCCCTCCCAACCCCGGCACCGCTCAATGGAGGCTGCTCCTCCTGCGGGGGAGTCAATATCCTGTGGACGGAGCCATCGGTCAGAAGGACCCCGACTAATTAAAAGCTGGTGAGGTTTAAATAATTCATCTCCTTAACTCCCATTGATCGCCCAGTTTAGTAGCCACAGACTTGAAACAATATTAAACGGCCTCCTCTATCTCCACGGGGGTGGGTAAGCTGACATGTGCCCACCCCTCTGAGGACATCACCCACCAGAGATGCAGGCAGGGTTGAGGGTATCTTGGCCTGAATCCAAGGCCACCTGTGACCCACCCAAAGCCCAGACCCCAGTCTCCTCCTAAACAGTGTTTTGAGAGATCTCTTCCAATGGTCTGGTTCCACTCTCCCCTATGCCACCCTCCTTCCCCACTCCCCCCACCTATGGAAAGCATCCCGTTAGAGCATAGAGCCACAGAACCCCTCTGTGTGCCAGGGGACTGGGGCATGCGGGCAGGGGGCTGACTGAGCTGCCAGGGGGTATATGTGGAGGGACTGACCAATGCCGCTGTGGGGCCGGCCTATGTGTTGCAGGCTGAGGCCCTTGTTCATGTCTAGAAGTCCATTCTTGGGCCAGCAGCCCATGGCGAAGCTGTAAGCCTGGAAGACAGGAGGCAAGAATGGTTAACAGAGGCCCTGACCCCCAATACTCACCACCTCCACCCTCCAGCCAAATCTTCCCACTAAGGGTTTACTCTCATTATGTCACTTCATGAGAGTCCCCTCACTGGGTCCCCTTTCCACCAGGGCCCCCACCAGAAAATCCCTTCTTCTTTCAGAGCTCCTTTTATCTTAGGCATCTCTCCATCAGAGACCTCCAGCCCCCAACAGGTGCCCCCTTGCCAGGCTCCTCTAGAGAGCTCCCATTTATTAAGACCCTCCTTCTCAGGACCATCCTGTCTATCAGGGCACCCCCTTCACCAGGCAGCCCTGTTAGATACCCCTCCCCCCAAGTGTACCCAGCATTGTGTTGGGCCCCTCCCCACAGTATTGCTAGTCATAAAGCCTGGTGTCGGGAAGGACCTGGAGACCAACATATCCAAACTTCACTCTATAGATAGGAAAACTGAAGCAAGAGGGGGCCAACCACAGGCCCTTGGTCTACTTGCTTTAGACGGAGAGGCAGGCCAGGCTGTGGAAGGCTGAGTACCATGCATGGGCTCAACTGAGGAGGAGTAAGGTCACCTGGTCGACTCAAGCAGCTGTGAGGGTAACACATGAAAAGAATGTGTGTGTGTGTGTGTGTGTGTGTGTGGTAGGGGGAACAGATCTCTGCTGAAGGTCAAGTACTCACTTATGCATATTCAAAGCAGCCACCCATCGATCTGTACTTAATTGTTTTCCTGGGGTTGGGGAAGGAAGTGCTGGGGGCATCGATCTGCTCAGGCCCCTAGCACTTCATTGCTCCCCTCCATCTGCTACTCGCGCCACCTGGCCGCCACCAACCTTCACGGTGGGGGGCGGTACATGGCAGGACCAGGGATGGCACTTTTCTTTCACAATCCCTTACAGGCACAACTGACTTGATGTCACAGATGAGGAAACTGAGGCCCAGAAAGAAGAGACTTACAAGGGTTAGAATGCTATCAAGTGGCCCAGTGGGAACTGAATTCCTGCTCCACCTGCTAGCAAAGTCCTGGGCTTCTACCAGGGGGCTTGTGCAGCTGGCTGGCCCTTCAGACATTACCCATCCCCTCACCTTTGAAGTCCTGGAACCTCAGGCTGCCCTGCTCCCAGTGGCAGGAAGCATATGGGATAGGGTCACCAGGAATGTAGCTTGGAGGAGTTCTCAAAAGCTAGGTGGGGAGGCCACGAGGGAAACTAAGGTGGCTGCAGCCACGTTCAAACAGGCACTGCAGTGCCCCCACCCATGCCCTGGCTGGAGGTCCCCATCCCACTAGAGACTCCCTCACAGCGGGGAGGTCCTAACACTGGGTCAGAAACCAAAGACATGAGGCTGGACACAGAGTCTGTGCTGAGGCCAAGGGGCTGGTACCCTTCCTTCCCAGCTGCAGGAACCAAGCCCCGGCTCTGCGGGTCCTTCAATATTAGCACCCTCCCGAGCCGCTTTCCTTGACCACAGACGATACCAGCCACAACTCAACATCCCAGCCAACCTTCCCACACTTTCCCAGGCCATGGCTGGACCCACAAATCGGGGGCTGGGTGTGAGGCTCAAGGGCAGGGGAGAGAACGCTGGCTTGCAGCCAGGGCAGAGCTGGGGGAGCGCAGGCAGCAAGGGAAAGTAGCCAGTGGGTGGTGCACAGCTGGATGAGCTGCTGAGCGTGGTCCGGGCCATGGCTGGAGCGCACTGGGCCAGAGAGCACTGGCGGGCCGGCTTTCAAGTACTTTAAAATCACTTACAAAGGCCGGATTAAACGATCAGAAATTCTATTTAATAGGACAAATAAAGAAATGACAATCTACCCTATCAGCCTGGAGAAGGCGAGCTGGATGGGTTTTTTTCCCCCTCTAAAAAGGAAAAAGGGAAGGAAGGGGGAAAAAAAGAAGGATAATGTGTGTTTACTCAAGCAAAGAAAAAAATATTTAAGTGATGTCGGGGAGAAGATTGCAGTAACTAGTGAAGAATAACATCGTCTACTTTGCTGTCAAATCACACCCGAATTTCAGTAATAGATTCTCGGCTGACACTCAATTCAATTCGAAGGTGATCCTGCTTTATCCCAGCCCATCAAATATTAAACACTTGCATTAGCAGGTGCTGCCGCTTCCCGGCTTAAAGCGGCGGGCGGGCAGCGGGCTGCTGAGGCCCCTCTGCTCTGCTCGTGGCTTGGGGACAGGGCAGCTCAACGTTATCTGCACGTCATCCTGAGTCTTATCGCAGCTAAGCGGGAAGACCACTTCAGATAACATTAGACGCTTGCCCCGATGCGTCACCGTGATTAGATTATTATTATAATTATGACTCCCCAAGATCTTCCCTAGACTGGGACATGTGGAAGGGGGTGGAGGGTGGCAGCGCCCAGGAGGGCCAGGCTGGGCCTGGCTGGAACAGGGCAAGCCGGAACCCAGGCAGGAAAGCAGAGGAAGCAGGCAAGGCAGCGGCCCCGGTCCCGCCTGACGGATGCCTTTCAGGAAGGGCAGTCTAGCTTGTCGGAGCGAGGGCGAGATGAATTGGCGTCTCCAGCGTGGCCGTGGGTGTCATGCGCACAGTTTCATATTCCCAGATAAGGCATGATAACCAATTGCTGCCATGACATGGCCTCATCCAGCACTTCCTCAGGGGGGCACGGGCGGGGGGAAGGGGGCAGCACGTGCACATGGGTCTGCCAAGCTCCTAATAAGAGGGATTTAATTTTTACAAATGCTGCTTCCAGCGGGGCCTTCACATACCAGCCAAAGTCCAAAATGATATTAAAAACGGTTAATTAAAACTGCTCTCCTTCAGCCTGGTCTCTCCCCCTGCTGCCCCTGCTGCGAACCCTGGCATGTCTCTCCCAGGTACTGTCACACACCCCTGCAGAGCTGAACCTTCAGAAGTGACCACCAGCCTCGGGGCACAGTCCCACAAGCTCCCTCCAACTCCTGCCATCTGAGGCACCCCTCAGTCACAGCCAGCAGACACAGAAAGCCACCCAGGGAACACAGGGTCCTACAGCAATCTGTGTTCTTACCAATGTGTGGTCTGGATCCTCACACCTGCTACCCCTCTACACCTGTACCCACATGCCCACCACCCCCAGCACTCACTTCTAAAGTCCCTCCCTGCCAGATACGTACACCATCAAGTGTGCACGCCCACACAGGCACCAAACTCTCCCTAGGTTACTCGGCGCATCCTCCCACTCCCCACTCCCTCCAGATGTCCCCCACAAGATTACATCCGTCTATGAATCTGAGCAGAGCCTTCCCAGGAGCCCCGCTCAGGACAAGGTGATGTGGGTTGTGTCTCAGAGATTCTGGCTGAGAAGTCAAGGCTCGGACTAGGGAACCAACAGAACTGGAAGATCAGGGAGGCTTTCCCCTGTGGCTGTCCACAGGGACAGTAGAGAGAAACAGGCCTGTGTGATGTTGGAGGCAGCTAGGAAAGCTTCCTGGAGGGAGTGGTAGTGGAGGGCTGGGCGGGAATTTGACAACAGTCCAGGCAGGAGACACAGTAAGGACAAAGGAGAATGGCAGGAGCAAGCTTGGTGAGAGCACAGGCAAGGGCTTGGCTGGGGCTGGGGCTGGGGCAGCCCACAAGCACGGAAAGAGCCCTGTCTTGAGGTGCTGGCTCCCAGCTCTGTGTACCAGTGGCAACACTGGCATCAATCAAGGGACCTAATTATTGTCCATCCCCTTTCTCCCGCCTGCTTCCTTTCCCTGCTCCCTCCCTCTCTTGCCAGCCTGCAGGGTGTGGGGGTAAGGGACCTAGGAGTTTTCTGACCTCAATCAGCGCGGGGCAGGAATCAGTTTTAAGAGCTCTTGCCAAGAGCCTGTGCCCAAGCCCCCTTCCCACACTGCTTCCAAATTCTTGGGGTGCCACTTCTCCAGCTGCACCTCTCCTAGCCACCGGGGCCCACCCCCTCTCCCCCAACTGTGGCTTCCTGGCCAAAGAGTGGGGCGGGTAGAGTTGGGGTGAAAGATGCTGGGTCTACCAAACCACCCCACCGCAGCCCTGTGCCAGGCAGGCACGCACACTTCCCCTCCCCTGGGCTGCTGTAATTTCCATGCGCGGGGAAGCAGGTGCCGAGCCGCTCCCGGCTGGCTCTTCTCTCGCGCGGCTCTGCCCGCCTTGGCTGCTGCCCCATTAGCTTAGTGGCCAGCCATCTGCGACGGGCCTGCCGCACAGCCCTGCTGTAGGCGCGGCGGGTGGCCCCCTGTGTAACAGGGAGCTTTGCCATTAGCGCCTTTAATATTCTGACACCTCAGCACAGCCTGCTATTACATGCAAACGCTGATCGCCCTGTGAAATTACATTGCTGGGCCCGCGAAATGGAATCGTGTATAATCAGCCTCCTCCATGCACTGTCAGTCCCATCACAAACACGGCGCCCGGCAGCTTACGGGGGCTTAGCAGCTGCGACAAGTGTATTGGGTTTAATAGATGAAGTAGCCCTCCTCGGCAGCAGCGTCAGATCCTTCAAAGAGGAAGGAAGAGGCATCGAGGGCTGCTAGGGTGTCTCTGCCCACCCACTCACTACCTGCCAGGGCCCTGAGGGTGGGGTGGCCACGGCGTGGGCAGGGTAGCGGATGCGGTTAGAACCCAGCTCAGACTCCACACAGAAGCACGGACTGCTCTGTAACTTCCAGAAAACCCAGAGCTTCCAAGCTGGAACCAGCACATTGGACCTATCCAGCTTCCTCATGAGGTGAGGAGGAGGAGGCCTTTAACCAGGCCTCTGGGTGACATGTCACCTGGTGGACCTAAGGCTGATGGGTCATTTCCCAAGATGAGGAAATAAATCAAATCACCTGCCATTCCCACAAACACCCAACAGATGAAGCTGTAAGGGTGATACTCCGGAGGATGGGGGGAGAGAAAGCCTGACAGACATAACTACTACTTAATTCCTTATCTAATTGGCCAGCACTTCTATAGCTGGTGGAGCCAAGTACCAAGGACACAGGTAAGCACGAGGATGGCAGACCCAGCAGCC